GCTAAACATGAAGACGACGACCACCGAGGACGGCGGGAAATACACGCCCCCGCCCTTGCCGGAGGGCCTGACTGTCGCAGTGATGAAGAACAGGCTGAGCGGGAAGAAGGTCAAGTGAGTGTAAATTTGGTATGGCGTATGCACCGCTGGGGTCTGACCGTGTGTCGCAGGGGTGCGCTGCTGACCCCGAAGGAGATGGAAGACCTCGCGGAATGCTGGCAGCCATATCGCAGCCTCGGTAAGCCACTGTCGTCATTGCCCCGCGCGTCGCAGAAACGCTGACCTTTCCTGAAGGCGTATATTACATGTGGGCCCTGGCGGAGGAGCCGAAGTAATGTTGGTCTCGGACGCTCGGCGCGGCGCTCAGCGACTCGAACTGTCGTCGACGCTGGCATTTGGACGGCGGTCTCGCGCAAAGGGGCGGGGCGGCGGCTCGCGCATGCGCGGATGTGGGCGCGTGTGGGCGCGGCACGGGGGCGACCGGGAGACGGCGGCGGCGGCGGCGGCGGCGGAGCGGGCTCACGGGTGCCTGATCGGTGGGGAGGATCTGTGCGAGGCTGGGGAAATAAAGAATGACTATGGGAGGGTGGTAGGGCTGTATTGGCGCGTAGGGCTCGCGCTAGCAGTGCGGGAGGGCGCGGGGAGAACGAGCCGGCAGAACGGGGACAGGAGGTAGGTGCACGCCCGCACATCGACGTATTCTGAAGCTCACGTTCTGGACTAGCTGCGTACAGAACCATTCGTGTCTACTCGCCGAGCTACGCCCTCGCATGCCCTCGCACGCCGTCCTCGAGTCAGCCCGCGGCGGCCGCTTTCCTCTCGCCTCTCGTCCGCTGCATTTGCAACGATCGTCCTGCCTCCCACCCAGCTCGTACGGTATCAGATAGACGAGAGACGAGGCTGGAACTGGAGTCGTGCGGAGCTCGCAAAAGCGCTGCAAAGTGCGGTCGAAAAGCGGGTGGACTACCCGCTCATACCCTCGTGCCAGGTCCGCAAAGTCGTCTCTTCCGTCGGGACGCACGCCGCGACGTCTGCCAGGCACCCGGGTACGGATGTCGTACCATGGGAGACGCTCTTGCGTCGTTTGGAGCCGGTTCGCACCGCAGGCAGACACGTCGAGCACGCATGCTTCGTGAGCGCGTACGGACTTCGCCAGACCGCGATTCGACCTCCCCTGCCTCGCCTGCAATCACGCCCTGCGCGGCCGTCGCCAAATGTGGTGTGCGCGCGGCCTTTCGTCCTCGCGCGCCCGTGGGCTGTCTGCAGGGAGTCATCTTACTCCACGCGGACAAGCACGACAGATACACTCACCGCCGTCTCGGCAGCGCCCTCACCGCATCCCTGCGAGCTGCAGACTCTCTTCGAGCCGACAAATCGACGTTTCCGTGGTCGAAGAGGAGCGCCGGCCGCGGACGAGTGCGTTAATACCACGTAGCGACCGAAGACGTACCTGTAGAGAGTGCATCACCCGCGGGACGCTAAAGTAACTTGTCGCAGGCCTGCGACTTCACGACTTTACTCACCTGCTTCCAGGGAAGGCCGCATGTGAGCCTCGCCGGCCGCAGTTTCCTCGGAGAGCGCGGGAGCAGGGTGCGCATCTCCGCAGGCTCGGGGCGTCGGCAGCTGCCTCGTCGACAGCCATTGCGACGAATTTCCATGCGTCTGGCCTCGCCATGAACGTCCCCAATGCGCGTGCAAGTAACGCGCCCGCATGGCTCGTGGGAAACGAGGTACGCTCCGCACTGCAATCACGGTTCGAGTTGCGTGTTCACCACCTTACGACAGGGCCCTTGAGATCAAGTGGCAGCCTCCGGGACGGCGAACTCGCCAACCTCGGACGACGCAGAAAACACTGCAATCTCACGGGTCCGCGGTGCGCTTTGCAGAGGCTCCGCATCTAACGCTGGCGTCTTGCGCCTCCGAGATGACAGGTACGGCATTTTCAAACACGACAACATGTACATGCTCACCTAGCTTTCGTTCCTAGCTGCGATGAGTCCCCTCGCCACGAGCATACCACTTCCGCAGTCCTCGACTCGTCCGAAGGCCCTGCGCGTGTAAGGACACGTGCAACGAAGGCCGCGCGCGTTCGCGGACCGCTAGATGTTCTATCGCGGAGGAAGGAGTGTGAGAGAGCTTGCAGCGGGTGCCACGATGTGCTACACGCGCTGCTCGAGCAAGGAGGTAGGCCACGGAAGTGCTTTGCAAAGTCGAGCTTGGTATACTGACCGTATCATAGTCTTCGCGGCCTGCACCCAGAAGCACGGCTCTCCAGCGCGACGGAATCGAGAAGCGCGGCGCCTCCGACGCCGTACGCAAAGGCCGTGAGACTCGGGTGCGAGCGGCTCGTAGCTCGCTGTGACGCCAGGGCAGGGACGATACGGTTACGACGACGCCGCCAATTCCAATGCAGCTGCCTTGGCAGTACTCGCGTCAGGTTATCCCGAGCATTGGGAGAGTGCACACAAGGTCAGGACGTCTCGACAACGTTTAAAGAATCTGTATACTCACTGCTTCGCGCCCAGACTGCCGGGTTCAGCTCCTACGCGCCCTCCCTGTGCCGGCCATCCAGAAACAAGAGCAGAACGCGTTGCGGGCGTCCAGCAAGCCGGGATCGGTGGGTAAGACCCGGACATCGGTGTCCAGTGTCCCCTGCTCGGGCTCGCAGCAGCAGGAAGGCTGCAAGAGCCCATTTGAGCCATGTTCTGCTGCTGCGCCATGATTTTCGAGGCCCAAGGAGTATCGGACCATCGGTGAGCATCCGGAACGATGTGAGTGGGCGGCCCTGACGCACGAATATAGATAGGGTACGCACTCTCTCGACGCTCTGTGCTCTCCGAGCCGTCTGCGCCCAGGACGCGCCGGCGTGCGAGAGAGGCCATTTCAATCATCGTGGTGAGTGTCATATGCCGTGTCGTGTACGAGGAAATACTCACGAGCCGTTGGCGAACGCGGTGACTCTGGACAGGGCTCGAACGCGTTCTTTTAGTCGTGCTCAATGCGTCCTCGTCGCGAACGTCGCGATGTCGATGCGGGACGTCGACGACGCGTCAGAGTCGGTCAGTGCCAGTTCTGTATCGCTCGGGAGACTCTAAGGCACTTACCACGGGCCCACGTCGTGCATATCGCGTTCAGAGTGTCCACATGCATGGTCCGGTCGCGTCACAAGGCGGCAGGCGGCGTGGACGTTGGCGCGAACACCAGTGTCGACTACACGTCGAGGGGCAGGGGATGGGGGCGCGTCTTCGGGAGGAGATTCGACGAAAGGCGGTGGGAAGGGGAGAGTGTGGAGGGTCGGGCTCCCCGGAGGCGAAGTATTAGCGCAGATGCGCGGACGCCGGACAGCATGCCATCGGCGGAGGTATGTCATGGCTTAACCCTGGATTCCCCAGCTCGGCGAGGCCGAGACGTGCCGGCGCCTTCGATATTCGTGGGCGTGTTCGGGCGGGATCCCGTCGAGGTGAGCATTTTGATCTATATTTCTCATTCTCATGATTGGCTCACATGCAAATGTTGCACAACGTCAGGATAGCTTTCAAATATGTCTGGCAGTATCCAAATTTCCGGGGCACAACTAGGAGATGGCCAGGCTATCAATATGATCTTCCATATGCAGATCTAGTAGCTAGCAGCTTCCGAGCATCCTGTACATCTCCTGAGAGCTGGAAATATATTTCTTATCCCGGGACACGTCTTCTGCATGCTGTGGCACTGAACACGGCTGCATGCCTTCGCCCGCGGTCGGAATAAGCAATGCGAGCTTGTGCAAAGTAACACCGATGTGCGCCTCTCTTTGCGAGAATACTTCGCACCTACTGGTTTCCCGGCTCACAGACCTGCTCCACCACCTGAAATTATACTACATGTTAGTCTCGTACTCGACGACGAGCTAGATGTCTTGATGGTGCACTCGCCCTTCACTAGATCCGCCTTGTGGCCTCGGTTTCGACCGGTTTCGACGTCCCGTTTGAGCTCAAAATATGTATTGCATTCATTGTCCCTAATGACAGTAAATACATGCCCCAGTCCGTCGTGACACAAAGCCCTGCTCCCGAACAATCACTCCGCCGGTCATGCCCACTTACGTTAACGCTTGATGTCGAGCCCTCGAGCTTCGATGGCTGCCATCGGCTAGGTATTGACTCGGACCATGTGTGCGTATACTCGTTCTGCTCGGAGCATGAGTTCATTCTCATTGCACGGCGAGTGCGGACTCACTGTGCGCAGGACAAGCACCTGCGCGAGGAGCATGTCTGCGCACTGCACTTGGACGCATCGCCGTACGAGCACGGCGCACGCACCTCGTCCTGCGTCCTACGAACGCACATCGTCCATTGACCGAGCCGAATGGGAGGAGATCGCGAACGCGGCATGCGTTCCGCATGTCAAGCCGCCCAGAGCGTACGTATGGCCGACCCTCGTCTAGACCTCCGTCGACGCGCATCGTGCGTTGGTTGGTGCAGGACGAGGCCCTCCGAGTTCCCCATCACTTAGACTCAATCCCGAGCGACGGGCGTGTGTCCCGGACGTTCGTTGATTGGGTCCCGGAGTGTGCGTGCCCACATCGGACGCCCGCGTAGCGGCCGTGTATTCGTTTCCGTGCTCGTATGCCGGAAGGTGCGCGCGGGCATCGCCGGCGCACGTCCGCTCTGTTGCTCGCTAGCGATGGACATCGGAGGGTATGGACCAATAAGTATTGTACGTCGAGGATTCGTGCGTGCCACTCACCTCCTTCCAGCTTCACATCGCTGCCGCCAGGTACGTCGCCCACCGTTCCCCATCCTTTCCACTCACATTTCTCATAGACGTA